TTTAATTCATAAATCCCAATTTGCCCTAATGGCGTTTTAAGGACTTTATATGTTACCGTACCCGCTGAAGTTAAATTTCAGTTTTATTGATGCTTTTACTGTACCCTTTATATTGAACATATACATATATTATATTTTCTACGTTAAATGAAATATGAAAATACATGCTATGAAATTTCCAAACTTAAAACAATAAAATAACAATACACAAATTATTTGCAAACTCACGTTAATTGATTTTAGACAATTTGTAATAGACATCAAATTCATGACTCTAAACTTGTTAATAAAATAAATGTAATAAATGTAATTTAAAATCTCAAAACATTAACCGATATTACTACCAACTTAATAAAAAATTAAACAATATCCAACAAAAAAAATTAATTAAAAATTTGGTCGAAAATCAAAAATATGATTTTGGCTTAAAAATTCGGATTATTTATTTATATTTCATTTTTAGAGTGAAAATTAGTTGTATTTATATTAAAAAGTGGCTACAAAAAGTGCCACATCAATTTGACAAAAATTTAAAAAATTTGCATTTTTTCAATTTTTTGAAATTTGCGAAAAAAGCTATAACTTTTGTTCAGCTTAATATTTTTCAATCGGATATGGCTAGAAATTTAAGTTAGACCAATACCTAAGAGACTGTGAAGTTTCGTTTTAATCGGTCAAGTAGTCTTTGTGTATATCCCGGACAAAATATCGCGGACAGACATACATACGTATTAGGGTGACCGTTATTTTGCGAAAGTTGGAATTTCTTAGTTCGCCGGGCAGAATTTGCTTTAGAATGTGAAAAAATGAGCTATGCAAAAAAACAGCCCAATTGATCAATATTAACCCGTGCCACCGAAGGGTTAAAGTTTAAATGGGGTTTAACATAGGATTAGTGCACTTTTTTACATTTTGTATGAGAACTTTTTTTTAATTAATCTTTTGCCTTGTCGACATACATATTTATGGTTTTGGATGTGCTGAACACGAATCCGATGTCAAAAAAAAGTTTTGACAGCTTCCAGCTGTCAAAAAAGCTATCAATCTTTTTAAAATGACAGTTTTTGTGTGAATTTAGACAGTTTTTGTGTTTAGTTTAGTAAATCAAACAAAATTTTGCTCATATAAAAGTATTTTAAGAACAATAAAGTCAAACTAAATAGCAATATGTAATATTGACAGTTGACAGCTGTCAATTAAACTGTTAAACTTTTAAAAACGAGAGTTTTTGACAGTTTTTACATTAACTTAGTCAGATAAAAATGTTTTCAGGGTATTTAGGTAAACCTGAATAGAATTATGTAAATTTGACAGTTGACAACTGTCAATTAAGATGTCAAACTTTTAAAATGGAGACTTTTTATATTAAATTAATACTTGCATGCGAGTGTTTTTAAGTACACTGAGGTGAATTATATTAGCGAAATGTATTCTTCACAATTGACAGCTTTCAACTGTCAATATTACATATTGCTATTTAGTTTGACTTTATTGTTCTTAAAATACTTTTATATGAGCAAAATTTTGTTTGATTTACTAAACTAAACACAAAAACTGTCTAAATTCACACAAAAACTGTCATTTTAAAAAGATTGACAGCTTTTTTGACAGCTGGAAGCTGTCAAAACTTTTTTTGACATCGGATTCGTGTTCAGCACATCCAAAATCATAAATATATATGTCGACAAGGCAAAAGATTAATTAAAAAAAAAGTTCTCATACAAAATGTAAAAAAGTGCACTAATCCTATGTTAAACCCCATTTAAACTTTAACCCTTCGGTGGCACGGGTTAATATTGATCAATTGGGCTGTTTTTTTGCATATCTCATTTTTTTCACATTCTAAAGCAAATTCTGCCCGGCGAACTAAGAAATTCCAACTTTCGCAAAATAACGGTCACCCTAATATATAATATATATATATTTAATAATTAAAATTTTTTTTTTTAATTTATTATTTTTTTTTAACAAATTATGCATAATTTTAACATAGTCTTATATAATAACTAGGGGGGCTTCGCCCCCCTGCGCGCTTCGCGCGCCAACCCCCTAACTATTTTTAATATTTATTTTAATTTTTAAAATCATGTTATCTTAATATGATGGCATAGTAATGAGTTAGAGTAAATTATAACAGGAGATATTAAAAAAGATAACTAATAGAGAATTCTACTTTACGGAAGTGATTATAGTGTCAACTTTTTCAAGTTTGGCACTCCTCATAGTAAATTTGATAATTCTTTTTTCTCAGTGTCAAAAGTATTATTGGGCTTCTTTTTACCTGCAGTTGACATAAATGTTGACGTAATGTAAGGGCCATTAGGGGCTGTCCATAAATTACGTAAGACATTTTTTGAGTAAATTTGACCCCCTTCCTCCCTCGTAAGATATTTTACATACATTAGCGCCATTTTTCCTATTGTTCGCAAGATCTTGCTGACCCCCTCCCCTCTAAATGTCTTACGTAATTTATGGACGGACTAAAGATTTCGACGTAAAATAATAGACGTTTGTGGGCTTTATTTTTCCCCGTAGGTCAAAACTGACCTTAAAATTGACCTAAATTTTGAGGAAACGGTAGGTCAAAAGGAATTTTCTTGTCAATTTTTGACGTGTAGGTCAAAACTGACCTTTAAATTGACCTAAATTTTAAGAAAATATCAAATCAGAGGGAGATTTCTGGTCAAATTTTAACTTGTAGGAAAAAACTGCCATTAAAATTAAAGTACATTTTAAGGACAGCAAAATAATTTTAATAGAATTTAAAAAAAAAAAATATGTCAATTTATAACATCTTTTATTGATTAAAACTTAATATTGAAATTTACGTCAAACTTCTTTTAACCAATAGGTCGAAAATTCCGTCAAATTTTAATATAAAGGTACGACTTTTTAAAAAATCCTAATTAATTTGCTTTTTTTATGTATAGGCTAAAAAATATGTCAAATTTGACCTAAATTTTAAGGAAAGGTCAGGTCAGAGGAAGTTTTTTCGACAATTTTTGCGGTGTAGATGAAAACTGACCTTAAAATTGACCTAATTTTTGAAGGCAGAGGGAATTGTTCGTCAATTTTATCCGTTAAGGTCAAAACTGCCCTTAAAATTGACCTACATTTTGAAGTTAAAGGGAATTGTTTGTCAATTTTTTACCTGTAGGTTAAAACTGCCCTTCAAATTGACCTAAATTTTAAGGGCAGAGTGGTTAGTTTGTCAATTTTTTACCTGTAGGTTAAATCTGCCTTTAAAATTAACCTAAATTTTGAGAGCAGAGGGAATTGTTTGTTAATTTTTGACCTGTAGATTAAAACTGCCCTTAAAATTGACCTACATTTTGAGGTCAGAGGGAATTATTTGTGAATTTTTGGCGTTTAGGTCAAAACTGCACTTAAAATTGACCTACATTTTGAGGGCAGAGGGACTTGTTTGTCAATTTTTTACCTGTAGATTAAATTTGCCCTTAAAATTGACATAAATTTTACGGGCAGAGTGAAACGCATTTTCTAACGCTTAGGTCAAAACTGCCCTTAAAATTGAACTAAATTTTGAAAGCAGAGCAATAAGTTTGTCAATTTTTAACTTTAAGTCATAACTACTCTTAAAATTGACTTAAATTTTGAGGGACGAGGGGTTAGTTTGTTAGTTTTTTACCTGTAGGTTGAATCTGCCCTTAAAATTGACCTAAATTTTGAGTAATTTTGACCTGTAGGTTAAAACTGCCCTTAAATTGACCTAAGTTTAGGTCAAATATAACTTGTTTCTGACGATGGACCTACCTTGACAGTGGGCCAACCTTGACTATGTTCCCCCTACTATAAGGGTCCCTTAAAACTTTCTGAAACAGCGGCTGCAGCGATATGATTTTATATTAATAGGGATAGATTACTTAACAATTATTGGAAAATTTTCTGTCTACTTCGTAAATTAAACAAATCATAATATTGAATACTATTTCTCATAAAACTTTTTTTTTAATAGGTTTGTATCATATTTCTAAATAGTAACAGTTATCGTCAAACAGAAACAATAATACTTTAATTAAGTATTTTTCACATTAATTTCATTCTTTTTTTATAATATTTAGAAAATTTAATCTGATAGCGTACCACAAATGTAAGAATAGATGTCGAAATTTTAACAATTCTAAGAAACATGTTAAACGTTAAAACAATTGCTGTGTTAAAATTAAACATTTTCTTATAAACGTCCAAAAGATACAGTAGGGGAGGATGGGGAAAGGCTAGTTAGTGGTTGTAATGCTTAAATGGCTTATTCAAAAAGCGCGTCATTCATGATATTTTCGTGTCTTAACACTAAGGAGCCATCCATAAACCATGTAGCCTCTTGAGGGTGAGGGGGGTCAATCAATTGATTGCGACAAGAGGAAAAAATGGCGCTAATATATGTAATAGCGTACTACATGGGGAAGATGGGGTCAAAATTCCCAAAAAATGGGGCTACGTTGTTTATGGACGACCAAACAAATGGTAGTAAAAATTGTAAATCAATCTGACACCATTTGCGAAGTTAGGAGTTTATTTTTAAAAAACACCTGTTTTTCTAAAATATCAACGTAATTTTAATCACGCTTTATTATATTCTTGCTAAACACGAATATCGTAATTTATTTTTAATTAAATTCACGTTGTTCCACAAAATTTAAGAATAATTGAAATATGGGTTCCTTACTCCCCCATGGGTCAAGAATAGTTAGAGCTAGTTTGGCACGGAACAATCCTGCTAATGCTACTACAAATTTTAAAAAAATGTTTAATCTTTCTTTTTAGGTTGATACACCCTACGAAGGATTACCACAAACAATACGAACCCTTGAACAATAGCCTTTGTAAATGAGGGACCCAGGTAATAATATTTTCTTTCTTCCTTCATCGCAAGAAAAACTATAGATAAAAGTCAATATATATATACTAGGGGGGCTTCGCCCCCCTGCGCGCTTCGCGCGCCAACCCCCTATTTTTTTTACTTTTTTATAATTTCTAAATTCTACATTCTTCTTTGAACTTGCTTCTTTGAATTAATAGCATTGATTAATATTAGTTTTAATAGCATTAAATATTAATATTGGTTTTTAGCCAACTTCATTGAAATTAAATATAAGTTAAAATTTATTTAATTTAAGTTAATTTAAGTTAAAACAATTATATTTTTAGATTTCAATGAATTTGTTTCCAAGATACACTACGGGGAAGTAACCAAATTCGTATCTCAAAATCTAAATAAAAATAATTAGTTTTGCTGTATACATAGCTTATAAAAAATTATTTATGTTGAAGAATAAAAATATATTTATGGTTTGATATATTAGGATTATAAAAATATCTCATTTATTCGTCAAATATATTACGATATATTAAATCAACAATTTGGAATAAGCATATAAATTATTCAAAAATTTCGGTCCATACGATATTATTGATATCTTTTTGATGTTCCTGATCATTATCGTCAGAACATTCAATAAATAAATTGTTAGGATCTGTGCATCTTGATAAAGCAACATATAATTGGCCATGAGAAAATAAAGGTTTATTGAATAAAATACCCAATTTTTGAAAACTTTGACCTTGTGATTTATTAATTGTTATTGCAAAAGCCAAAACTATAGGAAACTGTCTTCGGAACAAAATAAATGGTAAATTTGAATTCTCCCCGGAATCTAAAATTATCCTTGGAACAAATGCAGTGGTACCTTCTTTACTTCCCGTTATTATCAAAACTTTTATATTAAATTTATGTAATTCCAAAATTTTTAATCGGGTACCATTGCATAATCCATCATTTATACTTATGTTTCTTATCAACATTACGATTGCCCCAATTTTTAAAATTAATTTATGTACAGGTAAGCCAGGAATTTTTAAGGAATTTAAATATTCATTCGGAAAATTTAATTGCACACTTTCATCACTTAGATCCATTCCTTTATTTTTTACATAATCAATACTATAATAAATTTTTTCTTTTTCAGAAATTTTTTTCAATATTTTATTATTTAATTTAATAATGTCATCATTATGACATGCCAAGATTGCAAATTTTGAAACATCATCTTTCAAGGTAATTTTGGAACCAAAAATTTTTGTGCAAACATCATCAGTTTTCCATTCTTTGGGTACAAAAAATGGATTTATTTTCCCTTCCCCAATTTTTAAAAGAAATTTTGAAAATTTTGTATTACACGTTCTCATATTTTTTTTTAACTTGAAAATTATGAAGTCTTTCCAAAGATGTGAAAATTTTATTGATTCTTGAACAATTAATTCTCTGCACCCATTTTTTATTACTGGTAGGATTTGTCGAAAATCTCCACCTAATATTATTAATTTTCCTGCAAAGGGTATATTTTCAATGTGACAACAATATCTTAACGTTTTATCAACTATGTCCAAAGCTTTTTTTGGAATCATAGAAGCTTCGTCCCAGATTATAACGTCACATTCTCTTAATTTACATTTGTCAGATTTTAATTTTAAAAATGTTGTTTCAATATTTGTTAAATCTAGTGGTAATCGAAAAGTTCTGTGGCTTGTCATACCACCAGGTAACAAAATTGATGCAATTCCTGTCCATGCCATTGACAAAACATTTTTTCCAATTGAAAGAAAATAGTAAATTAAGGTTTTGTATAAAAAAGTTTTTCCTGTACCTCCAGGTCCATCAATAAATATCAATTTATAATTTCCTTTAGTTATATTTTCAAAAATTAAATTTTGATCTTTATTTAACAAACTTAAATATTTTAAAAAAACTTCTTTATTTTGTTTCATAAATAATATTTTTTCTTCCATACTGATCAAATTTAAATTTTCTTCAGGTTCAGGTAAACCAAAATTAGAGCACGTTAAATTTTCTAAGTTCAAAATATTATTTATTTGAATTAAAGCATTTTGTTCATTATTATTCTTAAAACCTTCGCAGAAATATTGTTTAAATTTAATCCAAATGTTATATTGAGAAGGGGAATTATCAGCAATAAGAAACCAAGCAAAAAATTTTCTTAATTCTGTGGGCATCATTATGTTACATGCTTCCTCAAAAATTTTAAAAACTTGATCGTCAGTTTCGATTAGTCCCATGGCTATAGCTGCGCTTTGAAAGGAATCATAGGTCACATTTTCATACCGTTTTAAATCTGTGAAGCAAGTTGCACCTTTGACTCGATTTAAAATTAATTTTAAATGAAACCTCTCAATGTCTTTTGGACTTACACTATTAATTCTACCCAAACATTTACAAAAATTTATTCTCTTAATCCACTGTTTTTTATTTGAATCGAAATAATAAAATTTTGGTATATTAGAATATTTAATATTTATAGCATTTTTATCATTTATATTTAAATTGAACCAAGCAGTGAGAGTTGTATTACAATTACCCTCAATTGCTTCTTTTTCATTATTTTCTTGAAAAATTATTTGTTGTTGATTTTCAGTATGAACTGCTAAACGAATAACAGAATGTGACCGCCCTGATAAGGGCAATTGTTCTATTCTCCACGCAGCTTCCATAGGACTTACGTATCGTGCATTAATGTAATCCGTAATTTCGTCATAAATTTCATGGTTCTCTCTTTTCAATCCAATAAAAGCTCTATCATGACCCTTATGCAAATATTTATAAATATACTTAATGCTCATGATAGAGGCGCAATATTCAACGTTAATATGACAACAATATTTTTTTAAAAGTATTGGATTATAAGAAACAACCATAGAATTATCTACATTTACAAAATCACCATTTAATTTTGAATTATATACATATAATTTATCTTTATTATTTCTGCGTCTGTATTTTGGGAAACCATTTTTTTGAATTTCAGTAGAATTACAAAAATCTTTTGGAAATTTTTTTGAACAAATATTTTTATTATTTTGTAAACAAATAGAATTTATATTATGAGGACCATGTAACATAAATTTTAAAACTAAATCTTTTAAGTCATTATCATTTTCCGGAATTTCTGCAGAAATATGTTTATCTATATCATCCGGTGTCAATAATTTATTTTTATAATTTAAAATAAACAATAAATGGCTATGAGGTAGTCCTCTTTTTTGAAATTCTATAGTATAAACATATCCCAAAATATCCCCGAAAATGAAACCAGAAAGTATATCTGCAATTATACATTTTAATTTTGCATTAAATAATCTTACAACAATATTAGGAATATCGTTGCATGATGTCCCTTTTGGAAAATTTGAAAGAATCTTTTTTAACTCTGGCCAATTTGGATTACACGTTACAGTTATAAATAAATCTGGTCTACCAATTTCTCTATTGATAGTCATTGCATCTTGATAATTTTGATGCATATTTCTTGGACTTCCAATATGAGAAGATGGCAGAACAAATATATTACCTAAACGTTCTTTATTAAAATTATTAGAGTTATTTATTGCAGAATTTTTTACATGATCTTGCAATCCTTGATAACATTCTACTCTTAATTTTTGCTGATTATACCGAAAGTAATTTAATCTCGTATTTTCAATTATTATATATGCTTGAATTACATATTGCTGAGTTAAGCGCCCACAAAATAAAATGGGATTAAATTCAATATTTGGACGATAAGCTAATCGATAAGAATAATATTGCAAAGCTGTTAATCTTTTACTACTATTACAATTTTGTTTTAATTCAAAATTCCACCCCAAATCTCCATAAGGAAACATAATTGGAAATGTTAATGGATCTAAGTGAAAAGACAATTTATTTAAAAATGTAGTAGACTCTTTACCATCAGGAACATTTCTAGGATAAATACATATATCAAATTTTTCAGGAATTTCCCCATCTTTTGAAATAATTAAGGCAGCACATTCTGCAGTTCTTGGTTTATTATATGTATGTTTATTTAAATTTATATTAGTTAAAAAATATAAGTTATATTCAGGTAAATTTTTATCTCGAGATAATTCATATAAATGTTTGTATTTTTTTACATATGGATTTTCATTCATTATTTTTGTTAAAATTTCCAAATGACTTTTAACTAAGTTTTTATTAAGTTTTAATCTTTTATTAATAGCTTCTAAATCATCGTAAATATAAATTTGACCAAGAATTGGAGATTTTCCTTTTTTTGCTAATAAAGAATTTGGAATAGAATGACAAACTTGTCCTTGAATTTTTAAATTATAAATTCCTTTTTTGAAATCATTTTTTACATTCGCGTTAAAACTTACAAAAGAAAATCTACTATTATAATAACGTATTAAATCTCGAAATTTTGTATCAAATAAAAGAATTTTTAATTTTTTATTATAATTTTTTTAAGGAGATATTTTTATTTTTCCATTATGACAACAACTTTTATATGAGAATTCTATTGACCAAAACTTTGCTGAACAATGTGGACACGTATAATTCATTTCACCAAAATCCAAATAACTTATTTTTGAAAGGTAAATGTTCTTAAATTTTTTAAAGACTTGGTTTTTCCTTCTCTTACAAATTCTATTTTCATTCATATACATTACTTTATCTTTCATTCTTTTTTTTCCAACCTATTTTCATTCAGATTCTCAATCAAATCTTTTGCACGTTTCTTTTTCATCCTTTCCTCATCCATTTCTTCTATACAATCACTTTTCCTTTTATTCATTAAACGTTCTTTCGTCATATTTTTAACAACATTTAATTTTCTTTTATTCTCTAATTGAATATGTGATAAATTACTGTTATTATTTTTTTCACAAATAGACTTTTTATTTTTATTGTAATAAATAGAATTAGAAATTTTTTTCTTTTCTTTCCAAAAATCAAAATTCAAACAATCTAAAATATCATAATGTCCATGATCTAGAAATCCAGACAGTAATAATACTAATTTCATATTATTGTTCCTATTACCATATTCTTTAGTATTATTAAAGGCTTCATGATAAACTGAAACATGCACATTAAAAATTGATACGAAAGCTTGAATTTCAACCTCCCCACCAAAAATAGAATTTTGCGACATGTAATTTTTATAGGAATTTTGATCATAAATAATTTCTGCATGAGATTTGTCTCCAATTACAAAATTTGCAAATGAAGACCAATTTTGAAGAATGTAATTAACTATTGTATTTCGAACTCGTTTATGATTTTTTTGGTCATTATATAAAAAATAGGAAAAAGATCTGAATAAGCAATTACCATCTGCTACAATACACACTTTAATATTTTTATTGTTAATTAAATGTTGTTCTATGTTTCTTTTCTTATCCAACAAATTTTCTCGCTTTTTTCCACTACACACTTTACTCACATTTTTACTCATTTCATTATCATCACATTCATTATCCAAAAATTTGGATAATGAATGTGATGATAATTTATTTTTTTTCAATAAACTGTCAGTTTCCAATTTTTCAAAAACCATGTCTTTATCCTTTCCATTATATTGTTCCACATTACTCAAATTTTTAATCAAATTATTTTCTTTATCATTCACATGAATTAAACATTTTTCAAATTCTTCCTCGCATATTTTTTCATTCATTATTTCATTATCATCACATTCATTATCCAAATTTTTAGATAATGGATGTGAATCTAACATTTTCTCATTTCTTTTCAATAAACAGTCAATTTCCAATTTTTCAAAAACCATGTCTTTATCCTTTCCATTATATTGTTTCCAAAAATTAAAATTCAAGCAATCCAAAATATCATAATGTCCTCCATCCAGAAGTCCAGACAATAATAATACTAACTTCATACTATTATTACTATTTCCATATTCTTTAATATTATTAAAAGCTTTATGATAAATTAATACATTTACATTATAAATTGAGACGAAAGCTTGAATTTCAACTTCCCCACCATAAATACTATTTTGTGACATATGATTTTTATATGAAATTTTATCATAAATAACGTGTCCATAAGATTCATCCCCAATAATAAAATTCTCAAATAAAAGCCAATTATCTATTATGTAATTAACTATTTTATCTCG